CTGGCTACATCACTGCTTTCAAGCGATCGGTAAAAACGTTGAAGTTCTCCTTGTAACTCATGGGCATACGGGCCTAATCTTGTTTGGGGGGGGGGGAGGGGCACAGTATTGGTTCACCCAACTGCTTTGGGTTATGTTACACAGTACACATACATAACTTTGTTCTAGAGTTATGTTTTGCTTCAGTGGCACATGGATTTCAGCTCTTTTGCCTGACCTTAAAAGTCTAGCTATAATGTAGAGAAACAAGAGGAGGGTATTAAATTAACAACAACACATACTGGTACTGTAGTGACTGGTCAACATGTGTCGGTATGTGAAGTGTATAAAACCTCATACCCTGTGAGCAAAGTCCGGTTATAAAACATAGACAGATTCTCTGGGGGTGCAGGGGGGGGCTACCCCCAATATTAGCTATAACCCCCTCCAAACGAAATGTCCACCCCTCCAAAAAATTTTCAACTATGTCTATTCAACATAATAAATAAATAATTAAATAGTCCACTCCAACATGCAGAGTATTGATGATACAAAATAAACATAGGAGAACACTCAAACAGAAAAAGACAGTGCAACACTCTGAAACTAATCGCTCCTCACTTGCATTCACTAGTTTATTGGAGCAATTGTAAAGTTTTGAAACTCTATTATCTTTTCTGAATAGAGTTTGCAGTGCCTTGTCATGCGAATAGCTTGCACGCAAGGAACGTTTGGAATTTTTACAAACACTAGTTTTTAATTCTTTTAGGAAATAGACTTGCCTAGATTTAATCTTTATGCCCCAAATATTATTTACATTGGAGTTGCATCATAAATTGTACTCGGATTCAAACAACACAATGTCAATGACTTTATAAAAGTTATATTGTGTATTGGCCTATATTGGGTTTACACTTTTTATAGGTTCTTTAACTCTCTCAAGTCTCAACAGACAATCAGGCATGCCAAATCCATTGGGCTATTCCAATTATTATCCGCACCCCCCTGTTGAGGAACCCCTTTCTCATGTCAGTACAACCCTGGAATTTCCACAAATTTTCATGTAAAATTTACCCCTTCCCATGGAAATTCCTTGTAAAAATTACCCTTCCCCATGGAATTTCCATTCTAAATTAGGCCTTCCCATGATAGAATTTCCATTTAAAATAATTGGCCCTGTCCATGGAATTTCCATGTGTAAATTACCCCTCCCTATGGAATTTCCATCATGGGACATTTACTCCCGGAAATTTCCCTCTAACATATGTCCTCCCATGGAATTTCCATCCCATCAAATTTACCCCTTGGCCCTCCCTTTGGAAATTCCATGTGAGAATTACTCCTCCCCTTGGAAATCCAGAGCCTGAATGATCACAGAGATCATCCTTGAACAGTGCGAAGTTCGCAATGCAATCAACAGTCTGAATCCCAATAAAGCCTTTGGTCCTGACAACATACCCACACGTTTATTGAAGGAATGTGCTTCTAGTATCGCTCCATCACTAACATATTTGTTCAATAAATCGCTAAACTCTGGCAATCTACCGACGGAATGGAAGCTATCTAATATTATTCCACTTCACAAAAAGGGTAACAAAAGCTACGTTGAGAATTACAGACCCATCTCACTGATGTGTGTGGTTGCGAAGGTTCTCGAGCGCTGCATTTATAATCGATTGGTAGATCACATTCAGAAAATGTTATCGGATGAACAGCATGGCTTTCTAAGAGGAAAATCATGTGTTGGCCAACTGCTTTCCGTTCTTGATCATATCGGCAAAAACCTTGACATGGGATTGCAAACCGATATCTTGTATCTTGATATTGCCAAAGCGTTTGACACCGTCGACCACAAACTACTTCTTCAGAAACTCTTTCATTTCGGTGTCGCGGACAAAGTTTTAAACTGGTTTTCTAACTACCTTTCAGATCGACAACAGCGTGTGTTAGTCCACGGTGCAACATCAGATTCCCTCCCAGTTACGTCTGGCGTCCCTCAAGGGTCGATCCTTGGTCCATTGTTATTCTTAATTTACGTCAATGATCTTCCTTCGTCAGTGTCTTCACCATCTGTGAACGTTTCTCTATTTGCTGACGACACAAAATGCTTTTCAACCATTGAGTCCCTAAGCGATGCAAGAAACCTAAACACGGAATTTAAAAATGTGCAGAACTGGACGCGTAGTTGGCGACTGAATTTCAATGCAGAGAAATGCAAAGTCCTTAGTATCACCAGAAAACGCTACCCAATCGTTGCTGAATACGTCATCGATGCCCGAGCTTTGCAGCACGTTCCCAGTCAGAAAGATCTTGGAGTGACAGTTTCTTCTGACCTTACATGGACTATCCACATACACGAGAAGATTACCAAAGCGAACCGTATGCTTGGCATGCTGAAACGTTCGACAGTTCATGTTAGAGATGCAAGCACTAGACGTAGTTTATATCTGGCATTAGTCCGATCTCATCTGGCCTATGCGTCACAGGTATGGAGCCTACAAACCGTAAGCATGTGTGGTGAATTGGAAAATGTTCAAAGGAGGGCAACTAAATTCATCTTGGCTTTACCTTTTGAAACTGACACTTGCTATAAATCAAGATTGTTGGCCTTAAACTTGTTACCACTGAGCTACTGGCACGAATATATGGACGTTCTCCTTTTATTCAAACTTACACGTGGATTTATTTCATCTGACCTCAATATCCTCCCAGAACAAAACAACAAATTAAGGATGAACCTACGGTCACAAAATACCACCCTTGTGACATATCATATACCAAAAACTAAGACACTCTGCTATCAGAACAGTTATGCTGTTAGAGCTTCACGGATATGGAACACTCTTCCCAATGAATTACGTCTACCAGAGATTTCATACCATCGATTTAAATCCCTCCTTTCCCAATATTACCTTACTGCCACCAAGACCACCTTCGACAAAGATCACCCCAAGTCATGGAAAACAATATGTCCCAAGTGCCATCTAGCAAGATCATTAAAAACGTTCAAGAACTGTTGTTTCTAGGACTAGCCTTGATGGCTAATGTGGACTTTGAACTGTAATTATATGTAAATAGATAGATGTGTTGTGTACGTTTCAAGTTCGAGTGGATGTATTGTTAGTACTGTCTGTAGAACCAGGGCATCAACGTAATTGGCTGACGCTG